AGTAAGTGAGAAAATAATTGTTCCAGAAAGGCAACTACTGAACATTGGCCATCGAAAATAGTTATTGGATTCATTGATGCTATGTTGTGTCTGTGATGAATCTAAAGCCTTCCAAAGGACTTTGTAGTCCCGGTGGAATCCGTAATCTAAATGCTGCCTTGCCTTGCAACATGATTCATAATTTGTTCAAGCGCCACTTGTAGGGTTGCACTCACTCCAGTAATCTTAAGAAGTCCAAAAATCTTAACAGATGTACAGCAAATTATCACCATGTCTGAAATAACTACAAAGCTATAGTTATTTAAACCTCATTTAAACAGAATTTAGAACGTAAATGCACTTTCCTGTGCTACAATATAATGCATAGCTTGTGGTGGTACAACTAAATAGAACAGATAAATTTAAGTTAAACATAGAACAGTAGTCTAAGGTTATGAAAATAAATATTTACTAAAACCTGGCTTAATAATTCTACCAGAGCATCAAAACCAAAACGTCGGCAACAATAGAATGCAAAGCCAGATAATTACAAATAGTTTGATGATCTAAGCCGTGACCACAAGCAGAAACATGCATGTGTCATTGACTGAATTATTCTAAAATAGGGTAATTGGACATGAATCATGTGATAGTGATTTTTGTTATTCCTATTTTCTCCCTGTTTATTTCCAAGGCTTTCAAAGAGCACAGACATAAGAAGACAAAATTACATTTAAGTAATATAAGCTGATCATCATTTACGAGGGCAATCCCCAAAAAAAAGGTCTCCTATTTTTGGGGGACGTAGAGAAAGTTTTAATACGGTTGTTGGCAACACTGTTGTGAGTGGTGCCTTCTCGCTACCACATAAGCACGCAGGCGATTCGCTCGGATGCTCAGTCTTGGCTTGGCAGCCATTTGAAATGGAGCTCCCGATAAACGTTACCGCCAAGTGCGAAGTGCGCGCAGTTATTCGATTTTTGAACGCAAAAGGCGTTAAACCGGTTGAAATTCACCGCCTATTGACGGAAGTGTGTGGACAGTTGTCGTGGATGTCGAAAACGTTCGCAAGTTGTGTATAGAGTTTACAGCCAGTTGTACTGAAATTCATGACGAAGAAAGGAGCAGGAGGCCGTCAATTGCTGACGAGACAATCGCGAAAGTTGAGAAACCCATGCGTAAAGGTCGAAGGATCACTCTGGATGCTCTCTGCATTTTGGTTCCTGAGGTTTCCAGAAGCACCATCCACAGGATTTTAACGGAAAAGTTGCAATATCGGAAGGTGTGTGCAAGATGGGTGCCATGTATGCTGACAGAAGACCACAAACGGCAACGGGTTGATTCTTCCCGCAAATTTCTTTGGCGCTATGGTTCTGCTCTGATGATGAGGTTCAACGCTTCCTGAAGGGCATGGCGGCAAGCTGGTATGACATGGGCATTGTAAAACTGCCACAGCGTCTACAAAAATGCATCAACTGAAATGGCGATTATGTTGAAAAATAAAGCATTCTTCAATCTTTAAAGTGATGTAGCAATTATAGAAAATAAATGGTTCTTTGTATATCTAAAAATATAGGAGACCTTTTTTTGGGAATTGCTCTCGTATAATTAGCTGTTTTATTACACTGTGTTTAATCCTGCGCATCTATTTATGTATGCATTTATAAACATTCAAGTGTTTTCCACATTAGTTTTTCATGACTTCTATTATCAAAACGATGCCAAGATTATTGCCAAGTTTAAATTACTCATATATTATTTAAGGTTGCCATATCTACCCACGACTGCTTTTAATATGGCACTAAAAGGCTTATCTTTGCCACAGGATTTCCACCACGTGAATTCCAACAGATACAACTCTATATAATGTCAAACCGTAACCCTTTGCTTTCTATTTCACATTTAATAGAGCCTCACAATCTTTCCACATTTTGGTGTGAGCACTTGTTGGATCAATAAAATTAAATGGTGGTTCACAGTTAAATAGCTGAAACCAGCCTTTTCACGCTCATCTGTTTTATAGGTTTTCCAAAAATTTGTATATTGTCAATCCTTCCAATTTGTGGTCTACAGTCATTGGATATCAGTGTGCTTGCTTCCTAATTTGGAGCCTGAAGAAGACAGCACTCACCACTTTCCCACCATAGTTCACCGAATATCCACTGTTGAGCACTCTTTTACACTACCTGCCAGCATTGCTTTTTTGCTGCACTAACAAACTCTCATCAATTTCAACTATTTTTCTAGGCTCGCATATCCATCCTTTAGAAGTGTACTTAGAGAACAAACCTCTGTCATAAAATAATTCCAGTCAATTGTGGTATTTTGACACATGTTGAGCTGTTTATCACAAAACTTGAGTGGCATTAGTTCCTCTGCACAACTGTAGATGAAAGACAGCACTAGAACCATTAAACAACCTGTTGTATCAAATGCCGCCCCCTTTTCTTTAACAACTTTTCATTTACATACAATTTCATTTCATAACCTTTTTTGCATATTCGATTGCGAGGTAATAGAGCTTTTTCTTGGAAAAACGATACGGCATCTTCCTCACTCATCAGTAAATTAAAAATTTCCATAATGTGTTTTTTACAATATGGGTTAAGTCACGATGTGTTTTTCTTATAATGTTTAAACTGAAAAAAGATTACTACAATATTATGCTATTCATCAAATTCGGCAAACAAACTGGGCTTCCAGGCTGCAAACCAAGCATTTATTTCTGCAAATTAAAAAAGAAAAAAGAAGGAAAAAAATTAGGCCTGAGAGATAATTGATGACAGCATCACTCAATGACATTAGGACTCTCCCTCATATAAATTCCTTCTTTCTAGAGATTCTAGAATTCTATTCTTCCTTCTTTCTAGAGATCTATTTTGGCAGAATGCCAGCTAAGGTTGCAAACTTTAATTAAAACTTGGTTAACTTAAATAACATTATTAATTAATAACAAAAAAAGGTGTCAGAAATAAGAAAGTATCAAGAAATATTATAAAAACAACATGAAATAATTTGGAAGTTATAGAGCTAAAATACTTTTTATCTACATAATCTTTCTTTAATCTAATGCTTAATAAAATTGTTAAGATCTTGTAAGTATTATGTCTTATATTTTACATGATCAGTAACTGATGACTGATCCAGAAGCTTACCATTGGCCACACGTGAATCAACAAAAAATGCCCAATCCTTGATCATTATAGGTCTGATTTTCAGTACTTTTAACATAAATTGATGACACAGTTTCTCGAAACAATCCAAGATATTTAGCAGATATTATCTAAGCCACACAATGAAGGTTTCACAGCAATGAGTTTTCATTTTATGGTTTAGATAATACTTCCTGAATATATCTGTGTCTTTACTTTATGGTTTAAATAACACTTACTAATACAAAATCTGTGATTTCCCATACAGTGATAGTGATGGAAGTACTTCTGAAGGTCCCATAATCTTTCTGACTATTTAGCATTATTCTTCGTAATGAAATGTAACTACAGCCATTAATAAAACAATTCTAAATTTTAATTCCTAGAGGAACTCTTGTTTTAAAATTCAATAAAATAATATAAGAAATAAAGTTGGCATGTATTAACTAATTTTCTGATTGAAGGTACTGAAAAATCAAGATGTAAGCAAAAACTGGAAAAATCATGACATAATGAAATATTTAACAAGCTGTATGTTACATATTTTTCATTTTGTAAAAGTAATAGGTTAAGATTTTGCAAAGAAAGTAACCAATGCATCACATTCTGAGTATAAGCCACCACCGATTCATTATTCACTTCAAATTTTTTACAGAGATCATATAGTTAACACAACTTTGTGAATATTTTCTGTTAATATGATAAATAATTAATGATATAGAATTCAAAATTTTAAGTTCCATTTTAAATAGTAGAGCTACATTTAAAAAGGATATTTGATGTAATTTTTTTTCATTTTTAACAGCTCACAAATATTTATTAATATTTAATTTTTTTGTTTTATAAAATGGCTCACAAAATTAGAGAAAGTAGCGCCATAAACTTTCAACAAAAGGAAAACATATACATTCCTCACACCAGTTTACTACAAATTTGAAAAGCCAGGAAATAAGTTAAAAAAAAAAAAAAAAAAAAAAAAAAAAAAAAAAAGCTAATTATTGTTACATAATAGAACATTTTAAAAGAAAAACGCAGGCTGAAACTACATTACAATACAAATGGGGAATTATATTCGAAAGTCCAGTTTTGGGCAACTAAAATGCTTCCAGAACATTTTGGGGAAATCAGAATGATATTCCTATCCATAAATTAGAAAATACGACTGGGAAACTACAAACGAAAAGAAAATCAGTCTACATCATTATGAAATTTCCCGAAAGCAATAATATAAGACATGCATTATTACAACTTAAACGTGATAAAAGGTAAATATTCTTCCTACTTAAAACATTGTTTCATATAAGTACTATTTATATAAGCACGATCCAAGTAAGAATACGCATATAAAACTAACCTGTCATAATTTTGCTCAGGATTCCTACTGCAGGAATCACAACAGCACTCCCAAGCTGCCATAACGAAAAGTTTTGCAATTTATTAGAAGGTGGAAACGGCCATCGTGAAATTTGCTCCCCTCCTGGCATGTTATCCATTGAAATTTTGCATAATTTAGAAGACTAATAAATAATACAATACATGTACGCCACTTTCTTTCCTTGTAGGAAGTATATTTACAGTATTTATTTACACGACACTTGAGTTGAGATATTCAGCTTGGTTATTTAATTGATGCCAAAAGAATTTTAAAGATTTTGGTTTCGACAAAGCAATTTGCCAGGCATTTTATTTTGTGGAAAAAGTAAATTTCCTTAAAGTTTAAATCAGATTTTAAGAATGAAAGTGTTAAAATTATACGGTCAAAAAATTGAAGCAAACTAATTAATTAACATATGTTATTACATATTCTACTTTCGCGCGACCTGAAAGAAAATTTTTTAAAATTGTCATATATTTTATGAGATAAAATATCCGTTTCAAAAACTGATAAAATCGCACAGTCACTTAATTTTCCTAATCTTCAGAGAAACTGATTAAAAAAAAAAAAAGAAAGAAAAAATAGTCTCTAACTTCTAAGCACTGTATAAATCTGTAGCAGACGACTTGGTGCAAAATGCGAAGGAGGAAGTGAAACATTTTATTATTAATGTGTTTCTGTTTTGTAAGTAAATTAATCGTCGCAGGATTGTATTGGGTATTGGATTTTAACGTGCTTGCTGTTTGGTATATTAAAGTAAAATAATAAGACCTTTTTTTAATAAAAATATTTTCGGCTCGTAACCTGTGATTAACTTGCGTAAATGTATTATATGTTCGGTAAGAATTCATTCTTTAGTTTTGTGTTATTATTTTTAAAAATATATTTATTTTGTATAAATCCCGAAAAGGAGACTATATTATTTGAATTATCTGATACTCTTTTGAAATCTTAAAAATTCAAAAACGTGGATAAAACCATCTTAAGATCTGTGATGAGATTCAGCCGTCTTGCACTGGTTCAGCAGAATCATTTCCTAAAATATTTTAAATTCGGCATACCGGTTGGTAAAATTGAAATTTAATATTTATTTTAACACTTTATTTATAACTATTTATCACATATTTAGGCAGCGAATTAGCTTGTAAAATTATTGAATCTCACTTCTGCTTAAGGTATGTAATTTATAATATTTTCTTTAAAATAATGTGTATATATGAATTTTATTTCACATTACGTGATTGTGTTAGGAATGATGGAAATATATAAAAATCTTGAGGTAAAATGCAGAATCGCCCACTTATTTGCTTGGCGCTTTTTACAAGAATAAGAAGAATTGGATTTTTGTCAATTTTGTTTGACTTTTTAAGTGAAAATAGGCCGGTGTGTACATGGATAAAGTCAAAAAAGTGCGCAATGCCATTTTTGTGCAATTCTGGGATGTTTTTTTAAGTGAAAATAGGTCAATGTGTACATGGATACCGAGTATGGGCAATTCTCAAAAACACACCAAGCAGTGGGTGATTCTGCACTTTCCCTAGAATCTTTTCAACAGGACTATTTTTTATCAGTAAGTATTTTATTTTTGTAGTGTAGCATTTAGCTACAAAATAATGGGTGAAAGTGCAGAATTGCCCACTGCTTGGTGTGTTTACTCCCTTGACTTTATCCATGTACACATTGACCTATTTTCATTTAAAAAGTCAAAGAAAATTGACAAAAATCCAATTCTTTTTACTTTTGTAAAAAGTGCCAAACAAAAAAGTGGGCGATTCTGCACTTTAGCCGATAATATTATATATAATTTAAAAGTTTTAATGTGTTGTGATAACAAAATATAGTGAATCTGTTGTTCATTGAGATGCACTTAAAATATTAAATGAAGCCAAAATAAATAAATGTTACTAAAAAAGCTTTATTGTAGATAAAAGAATAACTAAGTTAGTTATTTGTATATGTAAATATATATTTGAACAGAAGTTCTTTTCCCTTTCATTAATAATTTTAATTATGATAGGTTCTGTACTTTGGTACCCAATTTCGAATACTATGTAAAATTTAAAATTCAGTTTCTGATTTTAAATCATTAATTCAATTTAAAAAAAAAAAAAAAAAAAAAAAAAAAAAAAAAACAGATCATGAAGTATTATCCTGGTGACTGTAAAAGTTGGCTAACATCAAGCCATGAAAGTTGGCTGAAATCCAGCCAAAGTTGTACTAATCATTACTGTAGAGTTCTGAAGGAATTGATGCCTTATATCAGATTTACTGGTTAGTTTATCAGATTTTACTGGAAGTTCTGTTTATAATATGTATATTATAATTTATACATACTTATAATTTATACATGATTATAACATGTATAAGTATAGACTTCCCCAGGTAAATGTTCCAATGCATTGCTGTTTTGTCAACTATGTTTAGCTGACCATGTCATGTCCATAATATGCCCTTTGATGGTAGTATCCTACAACTTTGAAAATGAAAATAATCCACTGCTTGTTTCTGTTGTTGCTGAGCAGACAGATTCCAAATTTTCTTCTCCTCCCAAAGTGGAGAGAGGAGAACAGCAGTAACAGTTAATTTATATCCTTGTTCATAAAATTAAAACCTGTCTTGATGAGAGTTAATTAGGGTGACATCAAACAAAAACACAAATATTATGAGTGTGTTGCTACATCATGCTCATTCATTAACTGGCATTAAATTGCACTGCTTGTTTCAGTATTTTAGATGCATATTATAAATTATTTGATAACTTTTACATATTTTCTTTGACTGTAATTGTTTTTACTCTATTTAATTCAACATTATTTTTTTAAAATACAAAATACCTTATTTAGATGTCATTTATTAAGATTTATGCTTTTTGTATTATTTTTGTCGGGTTTTTGAAGTTGACCACAATGTAGGATTAAAGTATGGGTTAAGTTTCTTAAACTTTTACAGTTGCGACCCCTTTTTATCACTGAGATTTTTTTCTTGACCCCCCCAGGACCACATAATAATTACGAAAATTTTGTGGGACTCCATAAGCATTGCGCAAATCCAACACACGCATGTGTTAAACTGTCAATTTTTTTCACTTGCACTGTAATATACTATTGCAGTTTTAGGTCATTAACTTTAATTTCTAATTTTATGACATAGGACAATGTGAAAATTTTAAGTACCGTATATCGCGTATAAGTCGATACCGCGTATAAGTCGATCCCCCACTTCCGAAATCGATCGAGAAACTTCGAAAAAAATTTTTTAAGTACTACATTTATTCAAAATCATCTGAGAAAAAAAGTAAATATACGATTAAAAATACCTTGGTAAATAAACAAAATCAAAATCCTTCAACGTCATGGTCAGATTCGCCAAACATCTCATAGAACCTCATAGAACATCTCATAGAACTCATAGATCTCATAGAACTCATAGATCTGACCAATTCATGGTCAGATTCGCCAAACATCTCATAGAACTCTTCTGTCGTCATTGGCTCGTCATCATACATATTTTCTGTCTCTAACTCTGTATTGTTACAATCACTACTACAGCCTTCGTCGTCATTTTCACTTTCAAAAACAGCATCATCTTCCGTGCCGTCTAGTTCGTTGCTAATACAACATTTTTTAAATGATTTTATAATCATTCAGAGGGTATTTCGCAGGCATTTGCATTTTTCAGGGGCAAAAACATAAAAATTTCCAAAAGTGTCCACAATTTTGGCCACCACTGTAGTTCGTCACATAATTTAAGTCATGAAATTTTTTCAAGTAAGTGACTTATTTGAGAAGTCGTCCAATTCGAGTGCGGGAAGAAAACAACTGCATTATGCAAAGAAATTTTTGAACTTCCGATTCTTTTAATTTTTTATGGCCCCGCATATAAGTCGACCCCCCCCCCCACTTTGAAGTGTTTTTCTTGCCCAAAATATCTCAACTTATATGCGGGTATATACGGTAAGTAACAGACAAAATGACAGCATCACGTGCAAAGCAAGTAAAATGAACGTTTCTATTATAAAAATGCATCAAAACGTTTTCTTTTTTTTATTTGTCTGTATTGTTTTATCTTTATCTATTTTCAGATATATTGTGTAAAAATCTTTAGTAATTGTAAAATTGTTATAAGTTAAAGAAAAATTGAAACTGTTAAAATTTTTGGCCACCCTTTGCTGCAGGTCCCATGACCCTCAGGGGTGTTGCGACCCGCAGTATAAGAAACTCTGATATAGATTATTAATTGGACATTTAATCTAAATTGAAAGTATAACAGAATTTCAGTCATGCGGGCTCAAGACATCTTGAACTCCAACTGTCAAAACTACATTTCCTCCTAAGCCAAGTAAAATTAAATTTGTTGTTATTGCTGTTGCAGTATTTTAAACTATTTTTTAATTGACACATCATGAAAATATTCTAATATATGCATTATGTTCTAATTCTAGTTCAATTAAAAATTATAATAAGAAATATCAAAACTGCTAAATTTTTTCGCGACCGCCCTGCTGCAGGTTCCACGACCCCCTTTGGGTGTCATGACCTACATTTTAAGAAACACTGTTTAAGTGAACGGCTGCTCCAAATGCTAAACTTAAAACAAACAAGTTTAAACATAAAGAAAACAATCAATGAAAAAAAAAATCAATACCATATTTTATGGTGTGTAACGTGCAGTTTTAGTACAAAAAACTAAGTTTGAGATTTACAGGTATGCATTACATGCCGGATATAAAAATGACAGATTTAAAAATTAAAGAAAAGATGGGCATACGAAAATTAGATTTTTACGTATACCCAAATGCTGTTTATTTAAGAAAACTAACATACCTTATGTAAAAATCTTCATTATCAAATAATATGAAAAGTTAATTGTATTAGTCTTGCATTTAAATCTCCAGGCACATCATCAAATTCTATTTAATCTTCACCATCTTTGTTACTCTGATCCATAAATAAATGATCATCTTCTATTCTATCTAGATTGCTAGATATACTACATTTTTAATAACTTTCAAATTATGTCTGTTTAATTTCATTCCATGCTTTTATTATCCCCTCACATACTATTTCTTGACTGGCAGGATGTATTTGGCCTTCTTTTGTTTCTTTTTCTAACATCCACACATTTAAATGTTTTAAATTTTCTTTGAATGTTTTTCTTATTAAGCGTAGATTCGCTTTAGGCTTGCTTTCGGAGCTACGAACGGGTCCGCGTGACTCGGTCGTTCTGGGGAAAGTCCCCAGACACACTGGTATCGCGTACCGCATGGAAAGCCATGTTGTCCTTCTCTCAATCGAACCCGAACACATATCTAAGCTAATGGTGTTAATCCACCTGGAATATTTGCCATATATGTATTACATTCTTTCAACAATTTCTTCATGTTATCCACTAAATCTGCGTGAACATTCTCAAACTAAAAGATAGAACTTTTCGGTTAGCCAGGCACAAATCAAACCAACCTCTTTTTTGGGGGGAGGGGTTGTGACGTTTTAGGACTAGTTGCACAAGTGATCAGAAGAAAGCCAAAACTGTTCATCAATATACAAAAAAAAAGTATTTATTTCCATGAATATGCAAAGAAAAAATTTTTATATTTATTTGATTCTTCCAGAACATGCAAATATCCTTGAGAATTTCCTCAAATGTGTCCTTTATTCCTATTCTCTACATAAATTCGGCAAGGT